GGGCGGCAGGGGTGGCGGCGGGAGAGGGAGGGTTACTGGGTTCCTTGGCAGGAGGCTGATCGGGGCGCATTCTGGCTCTCCACGAGTTATCGAGTTCGGCGGCAGTGGGTGCGCGCTCCTGGAATTCGCGGCGTGGGGGTCTCGAGCCATCCTGAGAGCGTCCCTCACCCCAGGCGGGCGAGCTTCTTCTGAAACCGGGGCCTTCGTTGCTCCGAGGACGGCCGCCTTCTCTAACTGGTCCAGTCACCGGAGAAAGAGGACCCTTGCGCTCCCAGTTGCCAAAGTCGCGCACCTTTCCATCCGACTCAAAGTTGCGACGACCACCGGCACGTTCGCTGCCGGCATCGGAAAGGTTGTCGAGGTTACGTCCGAAAGCCGAGCGGTCGGGCACACGACGGGAAGGTTGCTCGGGAGCGGGCAGAGGGCCCTTGCGAGTCCAGTCAAATTCCTTGACATCGCGCTCCTTGGCTGTTGAGGGTGGTCAGCCTGCGCACAAAATGCCTCGAGAGGGCGAGAAGATACTTACGGGGCTCAGCGATGCTGACGCGAATCGCTCTTCCCTGAAGGGTGGTCCCTGAGAGGTCAAGGGCCTTCTTCAAGCCGTCGACAGTCTCAAATTCAACATAGCCAAAGCCCTTGGGGCTTCTTGTCAACTTATCTTCAACGATACGAACGTTCGTCACACCACATCCAGCAAACAGGTCGTTGATATCGGCCGAGGTCGCATCAAAAGAAAGGTTTCCAACGTGAGCGGTGTAAGGGGGTTGAGTAGGAAGTGGGAGAGGCTCTCTAATCGCATATCCACCACGCTCGCGGTCTGTATCACTCTAGCATTCAGACTGCATTCTTAAGAAACGATTGGGATCGGGAGCCATACCACCAAAGCTACTGCCGAATCCAGCGGAAGAAGGACCAGCGCCGCGGCGGTCACCTCCGTAGCTAGGCTGGGAAGGAGGAGCTATTGCACCTTTAGCCTTGTCATCCTTATCGCAAGTGGAAGAGACTATCATGGGGAAAAGTATCACGATAGTGCGCCTAGTACATACCGGCTGCAAAGTCCTCAAATCAGCAAAACCATCATTTTCCGAGTGTGTTTCACCGACGGGAGTTCTGCAACTTACCAGGCAAAGGCATATCCTCCATCTCATCGGCCCAGGAGCCAAGGCCTGTTTCGCTTAGCACAGTCCATCTCCGCGGGGGGAATTTGTGTGGGAACCTACTCTCGTCGGCCAAGAAGGTGCTGATAGACATCTTCTGGGCTTTCTGCTTCGCGGGCGCTGCATCGGAAGCCGTCAGTACTCATCATAATTTTCGACGCATCTGATCTGGACACTGATGGGATGCACTGAAGGAGGGGTCCGAGGTGGAACAAACCCATGATTGCGGTTGTGGAAATTCAGGAAACGCGCCAAGGGACTTGTGCGCGTCTCAGGTAGGATGTTAGATGGGCCTAAAAGGGGTTATAAGAAAACTTCCAGACAGGAAGATAATAATGATTGCAAGAAATGACGTCTAGTTGTTTGAACAAGTAGACGTGTGATGAATTATTGCAGGTGAACTCCGCAGTTGAAAGGACAGAGGGGGGGAAAGTAGGTTAATCCGTGAGGATAAATTTTAGTATGACGCTAGAAAAGTCAGCCTCAGGAAAAAAAAAGTGTTGGTGCGGCTTCCGGCCTCGACCCAACCCCAGGGCTTTGTCCCGTCGGTGCTTGGTGTGGCATCAAGACGATGCACATTCTTTCCAGATAATCAGGCAATTACTTATCCAGCTGTTACTTGATAATCACTATCTATCATACTTCTAACTTTGTTTCAAGATAGATCGGCCCAATGCAAGCCATCTTGAACTAATCTAGTAATACAACGAGGGAAGCTTGTGCCTTAGCCCGAAGCCGATTCTTATTCTGCAGCCATACTTCTACATATCCGACAGGATATTGAGACTCATGAAAGGCCAGGATCCGTAGAATACAAAGCTGATGGAGACTAAAAGGGCATGAAGAGACCATTATAGGGATACATTCGACAGTATGGTACCTGGCTGGGTCCAGGGGTAGATAGGTGGAGGGGCAACTGTATTACAGGCAAAATAACCCTGCGGTTCAAATTAAGACACTTCACAAGCAGATTTGTCCTACTTTGTACTTATTCTTTCTCGAGACGCCCGATCAGTGTAGAACTGTAAATAGAGTAAGGTGAAACACTGCTGAATCCTGTTAAGTAGTAGATGGATAGATGATCGATAAGGCAATGGACGGTAGAAATCGTCTGCACATGACCCGAGATCACGTGGATTCCCGCCATCCTATGAACATCTAGATAACAACCGGTCTTATTGCTCTCAAGTAGCCAACCATAGCGGCATGCTGCGAAATTATATTCCCTGATCAGTCGCAATATGAGCGGACAGAATGGTCAGAGGCCTGTATTAGGAGAGAATGTGTGGTTGGCGTCATTGAAAGCCGGAGCTTTGAGCGGTGAGTTCTTCACCCTGTCCGGGCAATCCAGATACTTGCCCTTGCGATCTCCGATGGTCCAAATATTACGGGGTTCTCCAAGAAAAAATGCTTACTTGATCATTCAGGCTCTGCTGGCCTCGTCTATGGAGGTATCTCCGGTGTCATAAGGTCTCCTCATCCAGTAATTCATTCGATTTCTTGCGGTATCCACTGGTTTGCATGTGGGACTTCCTTCTGGTGTAAGTCGCATTCCTCCCATGTCTGGTGATGTTGGATGCTCGTGATGCTGACTACTTAATCGCAGGGCTGAGGAGTAACATTTTAAGTCTCCACTATGAGGATAGGGCCTCTCCAAAACAGAGAGCCTATGTCAGCGCTTTCTCTGGTGGCATCGCTGGCGGCGCCGTGACCAGATTAATGGGTACTTGAACTCCAGGACTGCGTGAAATGTGTGACTGACAGGGAACCACTACTAATGCGATTTCGGCTCAGGAGGTCGTCTCATCCCAGGAGTTGTCGTATTCTCGCTGCTCGGCTACCTGGGTCAAAGATCTTACAATGCTATCGATGCATGGCAGGTGCAACACGCAAATACCCCAACGAAGCCAATTCTGCAACGACTAGCAGATTCCAAATGGATTCCACTCAAGACTCTCTCTGATGACGAATACAGGGGGATTCTGGGTGAGAAACTGCTCAGCATTGAGGCTGAGATAGCTATCATCGACGAAAAGATCGAGGGCCTTGAGAAGGCCAAGGCAAGCGGACAGGACATGATGAGGCTGGGTTCTTCATCAACTAGATGATCGCATTGCATCGACATCAGACTTCCTTTCCCTTCCAGGGTTATGGATATGTTCACAAAGTACAATCATCGCGGACTTGTACAGCAACCCAGCTCCGGTTGCATTTAGAAATTTCGTCAGATGTGAGCATCTTGAGCTATGAAGGGTTCCGATCATTGTTGCTCAACAAGGTCTGAGGAGAAGAATTTTGATTCTTCGCTAAAAGCCAGCTAAGTATGGGTGTGGATATTTCTGATGGGAACGGTGCGCAGAAGTATTGTATTATATAGAGAGGAGTAATTTGTAAGATAGCCAACTCAATGAGCTGGAGAGTGCCTCACCATTACTATTGGCAAATTTTCCATTACTTTCATCGACTTTACAAAAGGGCACACCCCTGTATATCACAGCTCAAATACATACAAAAGTTCTCAGAGTCAAATTTGCCCTGATCATGACATTAAAGTGCAAAATAATTGTTTTAATGATTCAATGGCAATGTGATAGTCCAGAGACAAATGTAATACGAAAGCCTTGATTGAATATATAGAAATTTGCATATTTGTTGGCTTGTCTCCTGGTCTTTATCATGACAGATATATCTAATCCTACCCCTGAATGTTGTCATTGAGTAACACATACGAAAGGGGACATGTCATATAGAGGAGTCAGTTTAATTAGATATAAAGATCGACAGCATTCTGGGGGGCCCTATTCCTATTCCTGAGTTTGTGAGTGTTATTAGGCACGTCCAAAGCTTTATGATTTATAGGTCGAGGGTCCTTTACGGGATGATCAACCTATTGTCAAAGCAGGGAAATTCAATGCACATTTCATTCTGTATGACACGCCCTAGTCATTTCCTGAGATAGTAACATTCTGCGGCTCATATTATTCCGGCTAAAGGCGAGCATAGGTACCTACTAGATTAGCAGAGTCGCCAGTTGGCAGTAACCAATAATGCCGAGACAGCCGATCCGCCACAGATAGGTACGTACTCCGTAGGACCGTAGTTGGTTAGCTCTGACCAAGTGGGCAGGCTTTCCGCTTCCAGATTGTCCCAGTTTGCCCGCAAACCACCGTTTGGTCGCTTGTTGCTGACATTATTCTTCTTGGGATAACTAGTTTGATAGATGATGGATCTATGGTTCGTCCGCTCCGGATCTATCTATCGCCTTATGACACCCCCCCCTAACATCATTTAATATCCCTCATATTCTGAATCTACTAAATTCTGTCCGAAGCATGCCTGACTATCACTGTCGAGGCTTTCTTCGGACAATTTGCAGGCCAGTGCGCAATTCTGGTCTTAACTGAGACCTGTCCCTCGCCGACTCCGAACGCTTGTGAGAATTGCTCGAATCGCGGGTCATTCCTCAAGGCAAAAATATTCTAGCCTAGAGAGGTCGGGTCGGCGACTTTTTATATTATAACTGTCTCAAATTATTCGCAGCATCCACCAGTATCTCGATGATTTGTGCTGTCAATCCTCTGGCTCCTGTTCGACGGATCGGTCTCCCTACTGGCGCGAGACGCGATGACACTCTTTAGCCCGACAACCGTCCTCGTGGGTTTCCTCCTCCTCTACCTTTCCTCGTTCCTTATCTTCGCCATCGTTCGGATTGCGACGGGAGTTTCTATTCAGCGAATCGGCTATTTCTCACTCCGCCGCATTGCCTACGTTCCGAGAGAAGGGATACAAATCGAACTTCGTGGCTTGGGGTTATCTCTACATCCTCCTTCCTTCGCGCAGCCAACATGGCTGAGCCTTCGCTTGACGGAACTCAAGGTGACCGTGAACCCTTCAGCTTTGAGCAAGGGTAAGAGCAACACAGCAAAGGCGGATGCGCTAGAGCCTCGAAGCTCTTCGGACGTGGGGGATACTTCGCAGGATGGAGGGGAGAGCACTCCAGCACGAGCTCCGCGGAGCAAGACGTGGAAATCACTCACACGGATGAAGGAGCAGGTAAAGAAGCTACACAGGAAGATACATTGGCTCAAATTGGTGGACGTCGTTGCCGTGAATACAACTATCAACTTCCTCGAAGCTGGTCAATTTCAGATAGGATCGCTCTCGTTGACGGTGGACACCAGGCGGAAAATGGTGGACCGGGCAAAGTTGTTTCGCCGAAAGAAGGATGAGTCTGGTGAACCATGCCCGGCCGAATGGATCATGAATGTGCAAAACGTCCTACTCGCGGTCGATGGCAGCGAGCCGGCTGAGCTTCTGGATCATGTTCAAATCAATATCCACGGACTCCTCCATAGAGATCTCAATGGTCTCAGGGATGCCTCTATTGCACTGAAAATCGGTAGACTCCATATTCCATATGACGAACTGACAACCGTCTCGCAACGGATCAAGCAGTTTCGGCGGTCGAGGAAGGAAGCTATCACCAATGACACGGACGACGAGATATCGTTTGCCGACTTTGTCGAGGAGTTGGACAGGCCCGGCAGTCGTGATGATGCGATTGTGCAAACGGTCGCTGATTCGAAAGAGTTTGCAAGCTCCCTGCTACGTGGGATTCGGGAAATTCAACTGGCTTTGAGCTTCTTCAGACTGTCTCGCGTGGTCCAGCCATCTTCTGCGGCGCAGAAATCGGTCTACTTGAACGTCATATCCCATGAAATCGGCGTTGACCTGCATCGCATGGACCAAAGGAGTCCCGCACATCGCATGTATTTTCAGCGGGACGACGTCGCACATCAGGCCCTTCTGGCCGCCATCTCTCTCTCAGTAAGCTTGGACGATAGCTCAGGCGAGACGGATCACATCATATACATCCCTATGGCTACTACAACAATCAAGACTACGCTCCCTTCCAAGACTGTCGGCTCTTTCGATGACCATAATGCGGAGGAGCGCAACACAAATATTCTCTTTGCTAATTTTGTTATCACATCACCCTCTCTCGATCTAGAACCACACCATCTTGACCGACTTCTAGGTCTGGTTCAAACACGAGCATCCTCCTCACGCGGAAAGAAGCGCGACAATCATCGATTGATTTCACGGCTGCTTCCGAAAGCGAACATTAAACTTTCCGTGCATGAACCCGTCATTCGACTCGTCCTCCCCATAACTAAAGAATCAGCCGGCTCTGATGATGACTATAATCTTCTCATCTCCT